AAGTGGTATAAGGGATCAAGACAGGTAGAGTACTCAGTACGGTCAGAGTGTCAGCACACTCAACTGGGCAGCAATTTGTGAAGGGGTGACTAGGCATAAAAATACTTTCAGATTTCAGAATGCTTGTGGGATACGGCAATGGTTGTTACATGCATAATTAATTTCAATTAGAAAATAAACTTTTGAACGCCTTTAGAGTACGATTACAAAGACTTGCTTGTTAAAGTGCTTTGTTTTTTCTTTGTACTCTTTAGGTATGGCTCACAGCTGTCATGTTTGATCTCTGCACAATCTTTAAGACATTACAGAAGTTGTTTCAGAAATCAAACTTGATTCTTCCAGATGTGTTAACAGCAAAAGATTCTGCTATGCAGAACTTGAAGATTATGAATGACATACCAGTTCCAGGTGGGAAAGAGGAGCAGAATTTGGAGTTGCACGATAATGAGCAAAATAGACCTGTGAGACGAACCAGTACAGCACATCAGTTTGTGACAAGCCAAAACAGGAATAGCAATGCTATAAGGAATGAAATTGTGCAGTCCGCCATCAATTTTCTTGGGCAACGTATGAACACAGAAAATGATGGCACAGTTGAGAGTTTGATGAGTATTCTAGAAGCATCTTCATCTAAGGACTTAATTTTGGCCAGTAGAAATCTTGTTTCTTCGATTCTTGGACCAAGCTGCCTGTCAGATTTTGTCAGTGATGTTTGCAAGTCATGGAACAACCTGGCCAAAATTGAGCATGTTGAGGTGGAAGACACTGGAACTATGTATGCTCTTCGCCTTAGGAAAATGATACAGGCAAGTACTGGTTTACTTAAGAAATTCCTAGCATCTTTTCTTACCCTTGTCCCTCACAGCATGGCAACTGAACGAGTTGTTTCTCATTATAACAATGTGAAGACATCGGGCAGGTCTTCGCTTAATCCTGAGACAATAAATGGTATATTGCATATTTCTCTGAATGGAAGGGGTGCATCCTTTTTTGACCCAAGACCAGTGGTATCAGAGTTCTTAACTTCGAAAGAAAGAAGAAACCGAGAGCCGTGTGAAGAACTGTACAAACAAAGGGAATTTGTGAAACATTTCTTCAAGCAAGAATCCGGATGTCTGTGATTCACAGAAGCATACAGTATACCTTAAATATAACTAGTATGATACTTTTTAAATACAACATTGGTTGGTGAGCATACTTAAACTTGTTGTGTTTGAATCTTAATTTCAAATTATCACAAATTTCACTTTTAAAAATTTCCTTTGAGAACCTGAGATTTCTTTAAAAAGTGTTCTCAGAATGCAGGAAATGCTATTTCAGAGACCAAAATTTAAAAAAATTCCCGAGGGCATGTGCTTAAACCCACCTTCGGTGTTCGCGTACTATCCAGGGAAAGGGAAAAAAAATGGCCTGGGCCCTTTGGTAGTTTTGCCCCACCACTGAAGAATCCTTAAAAGATGCCCTGCCAGGAATAGCTACAAAAAAATGCAACTATATCCCATTGAGTGGCGATCGATGCACCCTACTTTAGTATTTTATTCTGTTTAACGCCAGACGATTTTATTCGTCAAGGGGAGAACGCTGGCGCTTAATTAATGGGTTAACTGGCCTATCTGCCCATGTGTCTAGTTAACCCATTGAGTGGCGATGCACCCTGATGCAAACCTTATACATCACCTCAGACAGTGCACACGTACATTTTTAGAGCTCCTGCTTTGTAATAAAACTTGAGTTTAACACGGCAGAGTTACTTCTAACGAATAAGGGAAAGCTTAAATGGCGTGGTGAATTCGAATCGTTACAAATATTTCTTGAAAAAGATCTTAACATCAAAGGCAAGTGGACTTCTGCAAGTGGAGCAAAGCTGTTAAAAACTGATGACATTCAGATCCGATGGTATAGTCAGCAAGAAACTATAACCTTGAATGGCCCGAAAGCAGAGGAATACAAGTCGTTATTGGAAGCTAAGGCGAGTGTCTTAGATATCACCGAAACGACAGAAAGTGTGGACAAGGAGATGTCTGAAGTTTCCCAGCAAGAGGTTTCAGTAAGTGAGGCGTTAAATATCACAAGTGTTGACCCTTCCCTTTATAAAACAGTAGAAGCGATGAAGTCTGAAATTAATGCATTGAAATCGCAATTTAACAAACATTGCTTAGATTCATCCAAACTGCATATAGAATCAAAAATCCAAAAAGATAATAACTCTAGTGATGCTCGTACTTTAGATGTAGAGCGTTTGGAAAACGAAAACGAGAACTTAAAACAAGAAAACCAATTATTTCGATCAAAAATCGATTACCAAGAACAAGATCTATTGCATTTGAATAACAAATTAAAGACTTTAGAAGACGAGAGAGCAAGTTTAATAACCGTAATACGTCTATTGTACTCCGATAGAGATGAAAACAATAAATCATATTCCCAATGTGAATATCAAAGTGTTATGCGTGGCAGCACAAAAACTAACTGCCCACGCTCTCGCGTTCCAAATGCCGCCATGGCGGAAAAAAATCATTTTCTTATTAAGAAAAAATGTCTTAATTTAAGAAAAAAAATCTTAAAATAAGAAAATAATTTTCTTAGTAAGAAAAAATTTTCTTGAAATAAGAAATTTTTGAATCCCAAGATATCTTTTTCTTAAAATAAGAAAAAATTTTCTTAATAAGAAAACATTTTCTTAAAATAAGAAAATACGATTTTCTTACTTTCTTAATAAGAAAACATTTTCTTAAAATAAGAAAATACGATTTTCTTACTTTAAGAATATGTTCGTAAGACAAGAAATGAAATTCTTAAAATACAAAATTATAAAATAGTAAGACATTATTACTTAAATTTTTGAAGCAAGAAAATGTAAAATGCTAGTGTTATAGGACAACTTATATCTTAACAAGACTTAGAACAACGTATATCTTATTGCGTCAGGTAAATTTGTAGTTTTTATTTCGAATTGAAGAGACTATATGACCGGCAGCTCACGGTTGATCAAACACTAAATGGCCGGCAGTACATTGACTATATAGTTAAAGTTGAATCTTCAGTAATCAGTATAAGATAGATAAACCGATCCCCAATCCCAAACCCTTCTCTAACCCTAACCCCTAACCGTAACCTTTTGAGAGTTAGACCGGCTGCCGGTAATATAGTCACTTTGTTTTTATTTCGTTTCCAAAATTTGAGCTCGTTTTAGTTTTATTGAATCGTTGAAGAGAATTTTTGCCCTCCGGAATTTTTATCCAAGCAGGAATAGTTCGCCATAGTTCGCGTATTCACTAAACGCCTGGTACCTAGTTTACCTTTTAGAACGCGGAGCATCGCGGGATAGCGTCGTTTTACATTTTTGTGAAAAAATTTATATAAAATTATAAATATCCATGAGCGCCTTCAAGGCAATTTAAATGGCAAATAACGATGGGAAAAGCATCAGAAAGCATCAGAAAGTCTTTAAAATGTTGTTCAGATACCACAGGTAAGAATAATTGTATATTTGACTTGTTATTTAAACAGATCCATTGCGAAATAATGTAGTGATTATGACTGTTTACTTGAGCGAAGTGTGAAAATATTCCATTGAATGTTTGAATTTGCCGCGTTTGTTTTGCATATAAAACATGCAAATGTTGCTTTCAGGCAAGGGACGAAAGATTAAAATATAAATTCATATCTATTATTGTGAATTCCATACTAATTTACGACTAATATTAACAATTTGACAATACTAAATTGCCTTTGACATTGGCAGTTTGCTAGACCTTTCAAATGTCAAGACTCAAGGCTATATAGTGATATGAAATAAGATATTATACATACGGATGTTTTTGAAGATCTGTTAGCATTTTAATACTTGAATAAGGATTGGAATTGCAGGAGAATGACAGCATTTAATCTGATATTTTCAGTGTATAGATAGCTGAATAACTGAATTGCATCCTACTTTTAATATTGTTTACTCTGTCTAATTAATGCCAGAGGATTTTCCTACTTGCCTTGCCGGATAACTTGGCTACTGTAGAGAATGTTTAGTTTTCCCGACTTACTATGCTTCACCCGGGAAACTCTGCAACCCTAGATAGAATGTATATGCCTTTCATTTAAAATAATAGCCCAAAAATACATACAAATCATTAGGTATGTTTATAGCTTTCCTCTATTTCTAGCAGCTTTTTCTTGCCTATTTTGTAATCATGTTTTTTAAACCTTTTGAATGATCCAAATTGTGTTTGTATTTTGTCATTGCACAGCAATAATGGGGTAACTTGATTTCATATAAATAGACTGCTTTTTGTCCTGCCTGAGTGAGTAACTCACCTTGCCGGGTAACTCGCCTACTGATGTACTGATATCCATATTGGTGTATCAGTCATCTTTGAATTTCGTGAAATGACATGTATTATCGGTATCAGCAAAGTATTGGTCTTTTATTATCAGTTATCAGAATATCTGTGAATTTCCATATATCGGTGCATCACTAAAACAGTTCAAGATTGTGTTTATATGAGAAAATGCCATCCTGCTCGCCGGGACAATTTTGTTATGTTGACATTGTTTTGACAGTTGTTAAAAATAGCTTGCAGCTCGGCATCTTTGAACATTCATCCTGGCCCAGCCTGCTTGTGAGTGTATATGTGGAGAAATTTTCATCCCAATAAGCAACATTGTGGCGTCAGAGCCAGCCTGCTTGTGGATCCATATAAACGCATGATAATTTTTTCTAGATAAATATACCTAATGCAGTAAGATCTTGCTTACCGGGCTGTCCCGCTAAGCGGTCCAGCCCAGCTTCCATATAAATACATTGTACAGCTGGTTTAAAGAACCATGAACAGCAACCAGAAGTAAACTATACTGTCAGTAACTGTGTGATATGGTATTGGACAAATTATTACATTTCTTAATATTGCAGCTTTGGTGCATGAATAAGGGATAATAGTCTACTGGCACTTGCCACAAGAAAATGATAACTGAATCCAGGACATCTGTATCTGCCTACAGCCATGTCTCTGCTTAATAAAATTTATATAAAACATATGTAGTTTAATACTCCCTCTTTCGTCTTCTACCAATATGAACAGGTGATTGGCCGATTATAACATTAAACAATAAACCCTTTGTATTAGATAAGAATGATATTATATTATAAATAACATTAAATTAATTATATTAATGAATTATATTATAAATGAATTATATTATAAATAATAAGTCATAAAATTAATATTCGTCTATCTTTTTAACATAGACAGATTTTCATATTTTTTACTGTGGTGCATGGTGCCAGAAATTTTAGGGGGGGGGGGGGGTGAGCCGTGAGCAGGTGACTGAAGCATCACAAAGTGTCACCATACCCCAGTAAGGTCTATATTCTAGAGGTGGAGCACTAGAGATGTGAGGGGGAGTCTAGAGAGCAGAAAAGAAAGTATCCCTGGAGAAATTAATTTCTAAGATAAGATTTCTAAGATAAAATAAGATTATTTTCTTTTTTGTTTTGAGAAATTATTTTTGAGAAATTATTTTCTTAAAATAAGAAATTATTTTCTTATTTTAAGAAAATTTTCTTATTTCAAGAATTTTTTTTCTTGGGAGAATAACAAGAAAATTTTCTTAATAAGAAAATTCTTTTTAAGAAAAAATTCTTGTTTTGAGAAATTATTTTCTTAAAATAAGAAATTATTTTCTTATTTTAAGAAAATTTTCTTATTTCAAGAAAACTTTTTTCTTGGGAGAATAACAAGAAAATTCTCTTATTAAGAAAAAAATTTTCTTGATTTGAGAAAATATTTTCTTAAAATGAGAAAATATTTTCTCAATTTAAGAATTTCTCTCAAGAAAATTTTCTTAATAAGAAAAATTTTCTTAAGAAAATTTTCTTATTAAGAAAATTTTCTTGTTATTCTCCCAAGAAAATATTTTCTTATTTCAAGAAAATTTTCTTAAAACAAGTTTTTTTTTTCTTAAAATAAGAAAATGATTTTTTGCTTTGCAGTAAACAAAGTAAAATTCCAGACGTGCTAGGCAAAAATAAGTATTCACCGCTCGAAGTAGAACAAGCTTCTGCAGACGACGAAGAAGCCGGACAGTCATTAATTGAAGTTGGCACAAGCGACGATGATGATAAAACTCCTCATTACAGACCTAAGCAAACGTCAAAATCAACCACCCGAGCGTCCAAAAAACCAGAGAAAGAGGCTCGACAACAACATCAGCAAGGAAATGAGAAAGATTTGACAGATAGACACAATTCAAACCAAAATCAGCGAAAAGTGGATATCTGTGGTGACTCCATGACAAAATATATTCAAGCACATAAATTAGGACGCTCAACTAACGATAGAGTCACGTCAAAATCATTTAGTGGGGCGAAGTGTAAAGATATGAAGCATTATATTATGCCTACTTTAGAAAAGAAGCCTGACGAAATTATACTGCACGTCGGAACAAATGACCTAAAGACCAGCAGCCCAAAGACGGTTGTCAAAGATATCATGGCGCTAAAAGATTTTGTAGTAAAAACTTCACCTAGCACAAAGGTAACTATATCTGAACTGATAGTAAGAACTGATGACGAAACACTTAATAATAAAATTAAACAGATTAATACATTGTTGAAACAAAATTGTGCTGCTGATAATACACCCTTAATAGAACATTCCGATATAAATAATGACTGCTTAAATCAGTCTGGTGTTCATTTAAATAAAAAAGGAACAGCATTATTTGCTCTGAGTATAATCAAACATATTAGGCATTTTTGATATTAAATTTAATGATGCGATTCCAGGTCTTAAAAACCATAATGATAAAATAACAGTTGAAAATCGATCCCCAACTATTAACGACTTAAAAGGTTTTGTAATGGCTCATTTAAATGTTGCCTCTCTTCCCAAACATATTGATGAATTAAGATTACAATTAACTAAACAGTCCCTAGATATTTTGAGTATCAACGAAACAAGATTAGATGACACAATAAACGATGGTTTAATACACTTAAATGGTTATGACGTTTTACGTAAGGACAGAAATAGAATGGGCGGTGGAGTAGCCATTTACTTTAGAGATAATATAAATATTAAAAACCGAAATGATCTTGTGCCTGATTCTCTAGAAGCGTTATGTGTTGAAGTTCGGAAACCTAAGAGCAAGCCAATTCTAATTGTGAGTTGTTATCGTCCGCCAAATTCAAATCATGAAGTCTTAAAGTTAATTGAAAATCTTGTTAAAAACTTGAATAATGAAGAAAAAGAAATTGTGATTTTGGGAGACTTTAACTATGATCTATTAAA